GCACTCAGCTGCAATTGCAGGTTTTCAAACAGAGATGGCGACAAAGAGGCAAAACTTACAGACTGCAGCTTTAATATCCTAATGATTTTTGGCATAAAAGAAAAATCTATAATTTTGACCCATAAAATGTATTGTTGGATATTGCTACAAATATACCCCAGCGACTTAAGACTGGTCCAGGGTCACACACACACATATATATATATATATATATAATTAATATATTAATAATTTACATATGTATTTAATGTCATTTTACTTTAATGATTGAATGTAATGCAAATAAGTATATATTACTTTTTAATTGATAAAACATATTTAAATATATTACTTTATAATTTATTTATAAAATACATAGAAATTATATGTAACTGATAAATACAATTATATATATATTAATGACTACAATAAATAAATTAATTAATACTACATTTAGTCAAAAACAAAAATAGCATCAAAATCTCCAAAAAAAAAGCTTTGTCTATGTAAAGTTTACATTTGTTTTCTTATGTTTTAGGGTGCGTTCACACTTGGCATGTTTGGTTCGATTAAAACGAACTCTGGTGCGATTGCTCTGTTAGTGCGGTTCGTTTGAGTAAGTGTGAATGCTGCCATCCGAACCCTGGTGTGCACCAAACAAGCGGACCGAGACTGCTAAAAAGATGGGTCTCAGTCCACTTCCAAACGAACTCTGGTACGGGTCGAATGATATATGAACGCAACACAGACCAAATACTTCTAAACGGACCAAAAACAGGAAGTAATGACAAGATGCGACGCTATGCGACATGATTTGACGACGCGGTGTAACCAAAACAAAATGAGCGGAGGGCAAACGTGGAGCAACGATGAGGTAAAAGTGCCTTTTATGAGCTCCTTGTGAGTTTGCAGGTGGTGAAAATAAAATTATATGTACACGCAAGAATGAGCGTGCTTAGTCCAGCAGACGGCTTTAGGTGTGTTCGACTTAAAGCGGCGCTGAGCAGACCGATCGGTTAATCAGTGCTTTGATATCATACACCCGCAGCGCCGCTTTAAGTCTAACGCACCTTTTGTTTGGGGTGTTCGGTGAGTTCTGTCACAATATATACGTCATTCAAGCCGACCAATCAGGTTGTGAACACATCACTATGCCTTTAGGTTCGGCGTCTTTAGGTTCACTAAAGCGGACCAGGACCAAATGCATCATTTTCCTTTTTGGTCCGGACCAAATGAACCAAACTACAAGTGTGAACACACCCTAAGTGAATTTTATAATGAAAATCGGAAAGCATTTCATTTCAGTAATTGTGTGTGCGTATTATTTACTGTAATTAAATAGTTTAATGTATATAGAGTTTACTATCAGCATCATGCCACCCTGCTTACTACACATTCAGTACTAGACCTAAAAGAAATCCCCAAAACCTACTCTTAGCTACACATACAGTGCATCAACATGTTATCTGGTGCATTTTTAAATGCACTCATGAAAACAAGATTGTGCGTTCATGCACTTGAGTAGAGAACATCTGAGCCCGAGGGCTGTTTGAACATTTCGTTGTTGTAATGAACACTCACTATCCTCCTCGGTCGAGTGCGTTCCCTCAGTTATGTAAATCTCCAGCTGGAAGGGAGAGAAAATGCGATCAGAGACACCAGAAAGAGACGAAACATCACAGAGAAACAGAAAGCAGTCAGGCCGCTCCGGACAATAGCTGTCGCATGTACTTTCATTTAACGGCCTTTCATCAACATGACAACAACTACACGGCATGAGGAGACTCTTTACTCTCCCGTTTCCACTCACAAGCTCCAAAAACCCAGGGGATCAAAAAACAGATTAGGGCGTACCTTGTGCTTGAACGGCAGGCAGCGCTGAAGCTTGACTTGTAAGCACAGACCTGCAGGAAGAGGAAATAAATTAGGCGTTCGCTGTAGTTCAGACGGTCGACCTCATCAAAGCCTCTCAAGCGGCTCTCAGGAGATCAAGCACCAATAATGAGGGTATATTTACAAGTCTGTGTGACCGACAGGGGTTAATTAAACTCTCCACATATCGACTGGAGGAAAGAAACAACAAGCGCACCTCGAGTCCAAGAAATTATAATGGAGCTTCACTAAGGCCAGAACTCACTAAAACTGGCAGTTTGAGACTAATTCGTCACTAAAAACAAGGTAAAAAAATATCAACATGGCTCGTGCAACCTGCTGTGAATTCTTGCCTGCCGATTGCATGAAACCATTCCTTCTCATATAAATAATTTCAAAATATTTATTCTATACGAGATATTTCTGGGTAATCATATTCTAACAAAATATTGTAGCAAAATGTAAAATTTCAGCATTTAATTATTTTTTTTACTATTGTTCTGGTAAGGTATTTTCCCAGCAATGTTAATAGAAATTTGTTCATGTTTTTTTCTGAAATGTTTCAGTTGGATGTTTGTCTAGTATTTTTTTTTAATGTTACAGCTTGTTTTAGAATGGACGGAGAACATTCAAAAGTAACACTTCCATAATGTTTGCAAAATGATCAAATGGAATGTTCTCTCAACACTCACGGAATGTTTTAAAAACATTTGAAAAATAAAACAGTTCTATCTGATTATTAGACACTTCTATTTGTATTAAGACGGAACTGTTAAACGACGACAGCGAACAATGAAGAGGGAGAATGTGAGCGCTGCCGTCAAAATAAAAGTCTCGAACACATCGTCCAAACAGAAAAACTTATATCAGCCGCGGCCATATATCAGTCGATCACTAGACAAAATACTTACAAGTTCAACTGAAAATAAAAAGCTCATTCAAAATATGAATAAAACAATATTAAATAACAATGACTGATTGATCTCTATAGTCATCATCATGCTGCTGCTTAGAAAGTCTGATCAGACGGGGCTCTTGGGGGAAAGTCACAGATTTCAGAAGCACAGCATCCCATGATGCCAATCAATAACGCTTCTGATTAGCCGTGTAGATCGATGACTGAATCACTACAGGAGGAAACCTTTATGTTTGAGGAATACAAAATAAAAAACCTGCCAAGAACATGCCCGTCCTCTAAATCAAAAGAAAAAAAAACAACTTTGAATTCAAATTTTTATTTGAATTGCGACATTTTTATTTAAATTATGACGATAAATGTTTTGCTAGGCTTTCTCATTAATGTGCTGCTGAAAAATATATTTAAATTTGCATATTGTTATTATTAATTTTATATTTATATATTAAGATATATTATATACAAAGAATTGTTATATTAATATCATATTTTATTATTACGTATTAAATGTTTTATGATATATTATATATTATTATATATATTAATATTCTATATTATAGTAATACTATATATTATATTTATCTATTTATACATCATGGTAGTATTTGTCGTGTTTCCTCTATGCAAGAAAAAACACTTCAATATTATGAATGTACTCTATTAATGTACTGCTGAAAACTATTACTGTATTAATATATATATGTATATGTATATGTGTGTGTGTCTCTATATTATTTATATTTGCATATTTGTGTTATTATTATTATTATACATTAAATCATAATATTCTATGTTATAGTAATACTTAATATATATCAAGGATTTTATTAATTTTATTATTTATACATGGGAGTTTTTGTTGTTCTTCCTTTAATTTATGCAAGAAAAAAGCACTTAAGATGAAAATTGTTCATTTCATTATTATGAAAATAATTCCCTAATAGGCTGCATTTTCTTAATGCAAAATATTATATTAATAATCAATAATAATTTCTATAAATATAATTTGTCTTGATTCTGTAGTGAAATATGGCGCTTTGTGACATTCACCATGCTGTGGATTGAAATTATTAATAAGTATAATTATTTATTCATAAGGTCTGTTGTTAAC